GGGGGGGGGGGGGAGAGGGGGTTGAAGGGGGCCCCAAAATAGGCGACAATGTGATATGAGGTGTGTGCGTTTTGTCTGGAAGCAGGACGCCAGGAGCACAATCGCACTGTGTGTGGTGCCAACGGGCTGCACCGCAGGGCCAGGGTCGGGCTGCGGATGGGATGCGCCCCAAAAAAAGTGCTGGGGCTCATCGGCGCCCATAGGGCACATGACGTGCACACTTCAGATTGCTCTCAGCCCAAACAATTGCTGCAGCCGGTCATGATCAGCAAGTGAAGGCGTTGCACCCCCACAGCACCCCCAGGCTCACCAGCAGCAGGAAGGCGTGCGCCACCAGCTGGTCCCGTGTGATGCGGCCCTCCTTGAGGTGCGTCACCACCGCCCGGGTGATGACATCACGGCCGTCGCCCGGTGACGCGATGCGGGAGTCCACGAGGTGGCCCATGTAGTCAACGATCTCCTAGGGTTTTTGGTCATGGTTTCCAGGAGGTTTATGAGGATTGAAAGACCGAGGTGGAAGGGGTGACAAACCTGCTATTGGGGCAGGGGGTGCTGAAGTGAATCGTGCAACTGAATTGCAGCTCGGCAGTAAATCAAGATGTGACAGTCCAAGTGGAGAGCCGTAGTGCGTCATGGCGACGAATGTTGCAAAGTGCAGGAATTCAGACACCACTTCGCAACATTTCGATGCGTGTGCGATCCCGCACAGCCTGCTGAGCACACGTCAGCACTGCGTTGCGGGTCAAACGGCCCTGAGAGTCCACCACTTCTAAGAGCCCCGCGACCCGTCCGCCGTGCCCGCTTCGCCAACACCGGCCCTGGTCCGGTGCGGCGGCAAAAGGCGTGCAAACGCGGCTGCAAAATGCACACACACGCCGAAACATGGCCACGCCGTGCAGACAGGCGCTTCGCACGCGTGTGTCCATCAACGGGCGGCAAGGATGGATCAATATCCCCTGCTTCCACCTCCCATGCAGCGCCCAGCCTCCGCCCCAGGCCAGCGACTGGCAAACCCCACCCGCCAGCCCCATTAGACACAAAAGAAAGCCCAAAGCAGCAATTGTGGCCGGCCTTCCAAGCGCTCGCCGAGAAGCCGACGAGCAGCTGGCGTGGAACCAGGGAAGTTTACAGCGTCGGCAGTGCATGCAGCGTTGGGCGAAATTTGCAAGGCGGCTGTCCCACGCAACATGGCGCCCTGCGCGCGCCCCCGACCTCAAACATCCCGGATGTCGTCGCTCGCGCACCTGCTGGGCTGCATTTGCGTCCCTGGCGGTGGAGGAGCCCGAGCCGCGCACCCCCACATTGCCGGACAGCTTCCGGTGGTCCTGTGGGGATGCAGGGTGCGTGGGGGATTCGGGGTGGGGTTGAGAAGCGGTTTAGGGGGGTGATGATATCAGTACAAGAGGACGATGTCACCAGAATGGGTGGAGCCGGTTGCAAGCGTCTGTGTGCATACAGGGGGCACAGCCACGCAGCGGGCTGCACAACATGAGGCGCTTTGAGCATTTGTGCACATTCTGCGGTGCTCTGGCGCTCCACAATCACCGCTAACAAAATCAAAGCCAGAGAGGCGATGGTACCGGGAGGAGGTGCGGATGGAATGGCTCAGGGTTCAAAGCCCCTGCAACCCGCAAACCGCGACCTGCCACTCAGTGGCAGGCTGCCAGAGCCGCTCCCGCTGCCAGGTGTGTCGGCCCCCGCGCGCGCGTGCGTGCGCGTGCCTCCTGTGGGATGCCGAGAATGGTGTAGATGGTGCCGAAGGCCAGGGGCATGGAGAATGCCTCCTGCAGGTCAATGGAGAAGGGGGAGCCGTCGCCACCACCACCTCCAGCCTTGGCCTTGGCCGCCTGGGGTCGGGTTTGCATGTGATTGATAAACACAGCGTGTGGGACGGGGCACGAGAGCGAGGAGGGGGAGGGTGCTACGTAAAAAGTGGTGCTTTTTCCCGGAGGGCGGCGCAGCCGTCCTGGACCCATCGTGCGGCACGTCTGCGCAGCGGCTGCCCTTACTACCAGTGCGTCGTTCATCCCCTCACAAGGCGTGAGCCGCTAAACCGCATTTGAACCACTCTCTTCCTCTTACTACCTACAGCTCTCTCTGCTTCATTGCAAAACCACATCCTCCCCCCAAAGGGAGGAAAAGGCCCCACCTCCATTTCGTCGATCAGGCGGTCAACAGTGGCCGCGATTTGGGGGCGCATCGCCTCAACGGCGTCGTGGCTGCGGTCCCGCATCAGTTTGCGTGGTGATCAGAAGGCAGGGGGCATGCAGCCTGACTCATCGACTGCATTGGAGACCCGCCAAGGGGCAGCAGCGCCAGCACACTCCATGCAAGGGCGGCTATTCCCGCTGAGGAACACACCAACGCTGCCCGCTCCAAGTGCGCGCTGATTGGCGACCACGTATGTGTTGTGGGGAGAATGTCGTATGGTTGAACCCCCCAAGAAGCTCCCCTCTGCGCTGCCCCCTCCGCCCCCGCAATTTCTGGCCCGCCATCGCGCAGCCCCCGCGCTCCCACCTGAATGCGTCCTCAAACATGCCCCTGAAGCGCGTGTGCTCCGGGGGATCCATGTCCACAAAAGTGGGCTCACGCCCCTCAATGGCCGCCTTGGCGCCTGTGGGGTCAACGGGGGTGGGGGGGGGGGGAGGCGTGATGATGGCATGTGTGTGGTTGTGCACAAGGTTTCCAGTGCAAGGTTTTGCTTTTGAATATGTGTATGCGCGGGCGCGTGTGTAAATGTGTGCGTGAGTACTTGCACACATGGGTGCGTAGGTTTGCGTTTTCTCGTGCGTGTGCGTGTGTGCACGACCAACCCACGGACCCCAAAAGTATGATCCAGATTAGGGCGCAACCCCCACAGCCCCAGTGTCCACCGCCCGCTCCACCCCACACCCACCCTGAGAGAGCTCGGGGAAGCCGGGGTGGGTGCGCACCTGGTACAGTCGGGGTGCGCGGACAGGGCGAAGGCGGGTAAGTGTGAGTCGATGCACGAGGGGGTGGGGGTGGGCCGATGGTGGCTGGCTTGTGGCATCAGGCAGGGGCGGGGGGCTGCTAACGCCTTGCCCTGCCCCTCTCAATTTACCCTTGCATCCTCCTCCCCTTTCACCTCCGCACACCTTTGGCTACGAGGCACTCCTTCTGCTTCCTGCACCCACCCACCCCATATACTCCACCGCCAAAAAACACACATACACACGCACACGCTCACATACACGCACACACGCATCCACGCTCACACACACACACACACGCATCCACGCTCACACACACACACACACAGACACACAGACACACAGACACACAGACACACACACACACACACACACACACACACACACAGAGACACACTCACACACACAGATAGACACACTCACACACACATATGTCCACACATACAGTACACAAAAACACGCAATCGTGCCCCTACCCGCCCCCCCACCTTGCTGAACCGGTTGTCGACCAGCATGTCGCGCGCATGACTCATCTTAGTCACCAGCCAGATTGGGGAGCCGTCCCTGGGGTTCATCGACGGAAGGCGGGCTGGTTGGGGAGCAGGGTTGCACCCGGGCAAGAGTGTGGATGGGAGCATCTACTTTGTGTTGCTACACAAAGATCTCAACAAAAGGCCCGAAGTGGGGCAGCTAGGGCAGCAAGCGTGGGTGCTAGCCATGCGAGATGCAGTGTGTCGGCCGAGAGAGGGCGCAAACAAAGGCGGGGGTGGCGCGGGGCGGCGGGCCGCCTGCGGATGCCGAGGGGTGCCGGACTGCGCCGCGGGGCGGCCCCGCCGACGCGTGATACCTCTGCTGGATGAACACACGCGTTGGGGGGGGCCGTGCAGGGCGGGATCTGTCCCAAAAAAGGGCTTGGGCGCGCACGGGCACCCCATGGCTGGATTATTGACTCATCCAGCGGCCCCAGACGAAAGATTTCCGGAGCCACCGCGCGCCCCGCGCCCGCACGCGCATGCATGACTAGACAGCGCCACCCGCACCCTGCAGTGCGCGCGCCGCCCCGGGCCCGGCCTGGCCTCCCCGGCCCCTAAATACGCCTCATGATTGCACACAGGGCGCCCAAATTCATCGTCAGCTGCACAACCCTAGCCGCTCATTCCGGGGTCACCCCGCTGCTGCGTCGTCACTCATCATCCCACCGAACTTTTTCATCATCTGCGTCACTGCCCCTACCAAGCCATCCTGACGGCCGCACTCACCACAGTTTTACTTTGAAGACGGGGCACTCGCGGCGCAGGCGTGCGAATTCCAGGGGAGGGTCGCCGCCGGAGGGGCGCGAGAAGGGGAAGGACGGCGGCTCCCTACCGGCGCCGGCGGCGCCGCCCGCCCCGGCACGGGCGGCGACGTCGCTGCGCGGGCGGGCGCCGGCGGGAGGGGCGGCAACGGCGGGACCGTGGGCCGCGACCGCGGGGTTGGCGGGCGTGGCTGCGGAGGCCATCATCTTGGGCGACCCGGGAGTTGGGGCGACCCTGCTGGCTTGGCGCTGATGGTTGCAGTGATGCACGCCGTGTGGCGAAGCCTGCTGATCGGGTTGTAGAAGCGAAGATTCTGCATTGTGGGTGGTTCTCGAGCCTGAAGCGCTTTGCAGTGTTCGTACAGTGTCGGTGGATCTGGCGGAATGACGAAAGCAACGATCCCGGATTATGATGGCAGTAAGAGGCTCAACGCGCTTAAGCAGAAATAGTTGCGACCAAGATGATGTTGTACATAGCATGCATATGATCAGGCGCTCCGAGGTGGGGTGACTCAGCGTCACTGTTGTGAGGGAGTGCGCTTCTACGTAGTTTGGGCCACCTCTTGCAGGGCCCGCTGGCTTGCAAAGTCTTCCTGAGTTAATAAATTAAAATGGCTGCTTCATCTTCCAAACAACTATTACCTGGGGCGCTGGGATTGACAGAAACAGACTGTGAACGTTTGGTAGGGCTTTCATCGGCTGTGCGGAGGCTTGCGGGGATCAAGCACTCGCAAAGGCTGCAGACGCGGCCTTGCTGCGGCTCTGGGGCAGCCCACAGAGCCGCATGGCCAATGATGCTGGTGGCGTGGCAGCATGATTTTGTTAGGGGCGGTGCGAATATATGGTGCGTGCTGCCGAGGCGCGTCGCATCTCCATCAGGCCTGCTGGACGGGAGAGGGCATCTGACGCGGCACGCACTGCACGTGTGATGGCCATTGCCGGTTACATATGGCACCACTGCGCCTCAGCTACATATCTCAGCCGCGAAGGAAACGAGCGCCGCATGGCATGGAGCGTGTGCTTGGTGTGCGTGTCATGCGTGCCAGGGCCGACGGTCCAGGCCGGGTTTGTTGCCAGGGCCTTGCTTGGCCGCTGCCTGAGCGGGTAGCGCGGACACGCCGCCGGCTCGCGGCGGATCTTCACAACTAAAATTGACCGCATACTAGATTTGCAGCAGTCTGTGCCATGCAAGCCGCAATAGGACTGGTACACATGCTGAAGCACTCTGGTATTGCCTGTGATGACATGCTGGCGGCGCGCATGCTGTGCCTTGCAGTAACCGCCGAGTTGGCCCTCTGCAACAATGCGCATGGCGCGCCCTTTGACTGGGTCAGAGCTGGCCGCTTGGTGCGACGCAGGGGCAGCAGTCGCAGCGCATTGCAAGATTTCTTTGACTCGTCAACCACTGCAATTGGTATTTGGGCACAGATGACTGCCGAAACAAAAAAATCGCACTGCGCGTGATTTGTCAACACGCACCGTTGTTGGCATTACGCGAATACAACGAACAATGATCAGTCGTCATTTTTGCGTGCCAGTGGACGCGGCAGCATCTGGCCTTGCCAGCGGCACCCAGGACTCGACAGCGGCAGCGGCGCGCGTCTTGCAGCCAGAGCATCACCACGCCCGGCAGGAGGGGCGCTGCGGTGGCCCAGGCGCCGCAGCGAGCCCGCGATGCTGCTCCCCTCAAAGCTGGCGCGCTGGCGCGTCCGGCAGCGGCGGCGCGAGCGCGCGCGAGCTGCTGTCAGCTGTGCAGCAGTCCCTGGTCAGCGCCCGCAGCGGGCGGCCCAGCTTCCGGCGCCTCAACTCTGATGTCAAGGTGGGCCCTCCTGGGGCTGCTGCAGGGCCCCCTTGCAGGATCCCATTGACCGTCCTTGACCATGCACGCACACTTGTACACGCGCGCGCGTGCGCGAGCACCCACATGCCCAAGCCAACGCGCCGCCCGCAAGCGCGCAGATTAGTGCACGCACGCACATTCACACGCAGTCATGCGTGCGCGCAAACATACACTCACACAGGCGTATGTGGAAGACCTGCTGCGGCGCACCACCATCAAGGCCTGGTGCACCACCCACGGCAAGGAGCCCGCGCCGCCGCGCCTGCACCCGGCAATCCTGCGCACCATCCGCGAGTGGTGAGCAGGGGGTGGAGAGAGGGGCGCCGCAGGCGGGGAGGCAGGCAGGCGGGCACTTGCGAGCCAGTGCCGCGGAATCGGTATATGCACGGCAGCCGCTCCGACTGTATTGGCGTGTTCCTTCAATCATTGTGCTTACCCTCAGCTTTGACCATGCTTTGCCCGCGCGTTTACCAAGGTTTGACCTGGTGGATGACGACGGCAGCGGTACCCTGGAGCACCACGAGCTGATGGCTGCGCTGCAGGTGGGCAGCAGGGCGCAGGCGGCACCCTCAATGCCGACCCGAGAACAGCATCCCTGACGCCGGCAGTGGGCTAGGCTAGGTGGTGCTGTTGTTCCTTGCAGGCCCCCAGCCGGCCATCGTCGTGAAGACGGCCGCCCAGACCAACATGGCCAACATTTGGCGGCGCCTGGCCGGTCGTAAAGCGCTCCACCCGGGCAGCCCGCGGCCGCCGCGCAGCGTGCAGCTGATTGTGCGTGACAAACCGGCTGCGCGCATTGCGTGTCAACACACACATGCGACTGGCAGGCGGCGCGCATCCCTGCTGACGCGCGGTCGATCCACGAGATGATACGGCTGATGGATGCCAACAGGGACGGCCGGATAGGGTGGGGCGAGTTTGAGGGCTACATGATGCAGGTGGGGGGGAGGGGTATAGGGTCGAGAGTGTTTTTTTTGGGGGGGGAGTGGGTTGGGGGTACAGGTGTGCGTGCGGGTGTGTGGGGTTGCGGGTATGGCGGCATGGAGATGTGGGAGTTTGCAGGTGGGGGCGGGTGGGCATGTGCGGGAGAAGGTGGCGAGCTGGGTTAACGGGGGCCGCGGGGACGAAGGCTGGTGATGGATGGGGCGCCGACGTGGAGCGGGGGCTGTCAGTGCGTGCGCGGACCACACTCATGCGGGTGGGAAGCCGCCCTCTCGATCATACCACTGCACGCCCTGTTTGCTACCAATGGACACACCATCGTGGTGATGATCCCCCGGCACCCTCCCCGCTCGGCCCTCATCACACCACCACCCATCAAGCCCCTCACTCCTGGACCAGCCGCCGCCACCGTGCCAGACACGTGCACGAGCCGCCGCTGCCGCCTCGCAGTCGGCACCCCCTGCAGCCCCGCCCCCCTCACCCCGCCGCACTCTCTGCCGCGGCAGGAGTTTGCCGCGGGCAAGCACCTGCTGTCTGGAGAGTACATGCTGCCCAGCGGCACGGCGCTGCCCTTTGGCGCGATGATATCAAAGTTGAAGCGGTGAGGACTACCATCGGCACCACATGACACAGGAGAATATTAAATGAGGAGGCTCAGCCTGGAGGGCACGAGGTTTTCTGGGACAGCAGGATCGAGCACTCATGCAGTACACAGCCACAACCTTTGCTGCAGCAAGGGCGCATGGGGAGGTCCAAAAGCGGTGCAAAACGCGAGGGCCAGTGATACCGACGATGCAGGACCTGACAAACAGACAATCTGCCGCCATCGTGACCCCCCTGTTTCATTCTCGCAGCTCTCAGATCTTGGGTGACGTCATGGCGGGTGGGGAGGCCCGCACAAAGTGAGAAGCTTCAGGGCCACAACCTTGATTGCGTGCTTCCGCTTAACACCACCTGACGGTGTACAGTGCCTGTGGACGTGAACGCACGCGCATGTACATACATACACGCACGCACACGCGCACACACATACATACATCAACACGCATGCACGCACGCACGCACGCACGCATGCATGCACGCGCAGTCCTGATGCGCACACGTATCACACCAACGCAAATTCGGTGTTGCCATCGCGTTGAACCCCTCGCTGCAGGTGGACCCGCTTCACTGGGGACCTCACATCCGACAGCCGCGCCATCGCCGCAGCCGAGGGGGAAATCCAGCGCCGCAAGGCCTACAACGAGACCATACACCTGAGGGGCAGCAAGGACGGCCCCGCCAGCGACGACGACCGCTCACCGCCGCCGCCGCCGCCCCTCCCCCCGCCGCCGCCGAGGGCGCGGCTGTCGCTGCGTTATGGCGCGACGGGCGCCGCCGACGCGGGAACGCCGGGTGGCGGCGGCGGCGGCGGCGCGCGGCCGCTCTCCGCGCGGCGGGGGCGCCACGTGGTTGCGCCCCCGGGCGCCGGGGGTGTGGAGGCTGTAGGCGATGCAGAGGTGTCCTCGCCCCCAAACACAATCAGGTGCCAGCAGCAGAACGCGCCTGAGTCGACCGCGCAGCAAACGCAGCAGCAGGACCGCTCGGCAACCCGCAGGCCTCGGATGGCTCCTGGTCAGGAAGCCGCAAAAGTGCCCCGGCTGCCGCTCGCCTCCTTGCAAGAGGCAGTCGCCACCAGGGCCCTACCTAACGGACCGGCGGCCGGGGACGAGAGAGTGCCCCACGGCGGCGACGACCAGCGTAGCGCAGCGCTTGGGTCTGCGGCCGCGCGGGCGCACTCCCCGTTGCCGCCGCATGAGGGGCAGCTGGCTGTGGCTTTTGAACGTATCTGCAGCCTCCTGCCTCAGAGCCTCCAGGCATGTCCCGGCGGGAGCCTCTGGCGCGGCAGAACACACAGCAGCCACGGCCGGGGCGGGGGAGGGGGCGGGGCAGGCGGCGGCTGCGGCCCGCAAAGCAGGCCCCGGTCCCCTCCGGCCACCGTGCGGCGGCGAGGCGGCACGAGCTCGCCGCTTCGGCTGTCGCAGCACGCGGCCGAGCGCGCCGGCGGCGGCGGCGGCAGCCCCCGCACGGGGTCGCCGGGGCGCGGTGCGCGGCCGCAGCTGCTGGCGCCAGACGAACAGTGGGGGGCGCGCGCGTCGAGCGCTCTCAGCAGCCGCCAGCGGCAAGAGCTGCGACTCAGCGCGGGTCGCCCGACCTCCCCTCGCGCCAGCCCCCGTGCCCGCACGGCTGTCGCTGCGGCGGCCATCGCAGCGGTGCCTCGCCTGCCGCTGGGATGCCCGCACGCCGGCGCTGACGGCGGTGGCGGTGGCGGTGGCGTCGCTGCGGCCACTGCCACCTCAGC